TTCTGGGCCCTGATGACAGCTCATAACAGCTCATGGATTTAACTCTTTGAAACCTGAAAACATTGGTTTGATTTCTTTTATAAACATTGGTAGAAGGCAGCGAGCAACGGAAGAAGAAATGACCCAAAAAATTAGCAAGAAATTGGTAAAAAGAGAGAATTTAAAACAAACAAAAAAAATCATAAAAAAGTTAAAAACAAACAAGGAAATGACCTAGGAAAAAAGTGCTTAAAAATTTTAATTATTAATTTAATTTAATTTAATTGATTTATTCAATTATTTAAACAATTTAATATTATTTTAAATATCTAATAATAATTATTATAAATATATTTTTTCCCTAGCCTTTTGTCTTTTTTCTCAAGTTTTAAAGAAAAATAATTTTCTTACATTTTTTTATTTTTTCATTTTCAATTTGTGGGACATTTCTTACCAACTTGCTTGTTACCTTTTATCCCATCTTTTTTTTTTTTTTTCAAAGAAATCACACCAATTTGCCTGGACTTCAAAAGGTTTAATTACTCGTGAAAGGCGTCTGAAAGCAGCACAAGAAAAGTAAAGTCACTCCAGGTTAAACAGAGCTGCTCTGATCACCCAGTGAAGAAGTGCTTTGTATAAGAAAGCCAAAACTTAAATCACAAACTGAAGCATGAACTGAGGCGTTGAATCAACACACATGTTCTCTGAGGTGTTTCATCTCTGTCTCACTGAGCTTCCTCTCAGATCACAAACAGCAGCAGCTCAACTCAGCTGTTAACAAACCAAATGTTTTCCACAAAGACGACTCTGATCATGATTCAGCAAAGATGATTTTTCCCTCTTTGCATAATAAATCTGAGAGAGATGTGTTTTGACTTGAGGCGAAACATTTAACATGAATAAAGCCATAAAAGATGAAGTGTTTACTGACACACTGACGGGATGAAACAAAGCAGAGCGCTCAAACATATTCAGCTCCTGTTTAACAGAGCTGCAGTATAATGAACTAACATCCTGCCTGATGCCATTATCCATCCCATAATCCTCCACTAATTCAGATCACTGGGATCCTCTTCATGTCGTTAACTCACTTCTTACATTGAATAAGATTATTGTCACGCACAAGACGGATCTGATGTTCATACACATCACTGCAGGCTCGTTTCACAAAGGGAAATGTTTATTACTAAAAAATACAAAGTGTGTAACATCACGTCACAGTGGACTCCTCCTGACTCAGTGAGTCAGTGGCGCCATCTTGTGTTGAGAGCTGAGCACTGACTCATGGGTTCACTCAGTCATGTTCCTGCTCTGCTGCTGTAATTTGTGTTTTACACATAATTTAAAGTAATAACTCTCATATTGTTATTATTCAGCACATCCTGCGACTGTAGCAGACGTATTTATGGCCTCATATGTTGTTTGACCCTTTTACACACACAGTTACACTTCTCCCTGCGTGGGATCAATAAAATTTATCTTATCTTGTTTCCATTGGAAAGTCTTTAATGATAAACTTCAACAAGAACACAGTGAACACAGGACAGTTAAAATCTGCGCTGCACACTAAAATAAATATCTCTATAAGTATAGTAATAAAAACACAAATCACATCAGCAGAGGTGAAAAATAACTAAGTACAAATTTGAGGTACTTTACTTGAGTATTTTGATTTTATGCTTCTGTATACTTATACTCCACATTTCTGTGGTTAATTTGCAGATAATAATTTTACCAACATAACATATTCACTGGATTCAATTTATTTTCAAATGTGTTCATTTTAATTGTGCCTCATATTTGAAACAGTTTTTGGCTCCATGTAATTCCTCATTTCCACTTAGACATATGCAGTATCAATCTTTCTTTGTCCCCAGAAGTCGGACAAAGGTAATATTAATACAAAGCTGTCCCCTCTCTGCTGCCTCAGGACTTCTTCATATTCGTGTTTTATATACTGTTAGGTGTTTTAAAGAACCAGCATGTGAGCTGTAGGGGCATCTACTGACATCTAGTGGTGAGGACTGCACATTGCAACCAGCTGGAGCTTTGTTAGGAGTCCTTCAGTGTTCATTGTTCAAGAGGTTTTGAGCAGGAGCTGAATTATCCACAGAGGTCTCTTCTTCTAAAAAACAAACGGACCTGCTGATTAAAGCCTTTGAAACCTGGACGGACATCAGCTGTCTTGTGCTGCATTCAGACACCTTTCCCAAACATTTAAACCTTTGAAGCCTGAAAGGCTCGGTGAAATCATTTCATGTTACTTGGGATCCTTTTCTGAATCATATACATTCTCTAGACTTTTCCTCTGAGTTGGAGGATTGATATGTGTAATTGTTTATTTACTTTTTGTTTATTTTTATTAACCTTAATAACCTTAACCTTAATATTTTTTTTAATTTATTATTATTTTTCAATTCCTTTTGTACTTATTTATTATTATTATTATTATTTTTTTTTTTTTTTTTTACTTTTTTCATTTCTATTTTTGAACTGCTCTTTTCATCTATTTCTTTCTCTCTTATTTGGGTTTTGAGTGATTGGCCTGGCAGTGGGTTGTGGGCGGTGGGTGGGAAGGGAGTTGACATTCAGATGTGACAATCAATGTTTTGTCTGTTTTTTCTTTACCTGATGCTGTATACCACACTGTCTTGTCTAAAATGTTCAAAATGTTCTATAAATAAAGTTGGGAAAAAAAAACCTTTGAAGCCTGAAGACACTGGTTTGATTTCTTTCAAAAATGTGCAAAAAGGCAATAAGCAACTTGGCAAGAAATGTCCGGCAAACTGCAGGGAAATAGTAAAATGTTACAAGAAAAATAACCCAAAAGAGAAAACAGAGAGAGGGGGGAAATTATTAAAAAAATGTTTTAAAAAATGAAAAAAAAAAGCCCTGAAAAATGTATACATTTTTGCAATTATATTTTTAAAATTTAATTTATTTATTTTTCAGGACATTTTGTTGTAACTTTGACTAATTTCTTGCTAATTTTTGTGTCATTTCATTTCAAGCAACTCTTATGTTTCTTACATTTCACACAGCAGAAAAAAATTGAACATCCACAACTCCGCCTCCCTCCAAAGTCCCATCCCCCTCCTCCATTATGTCTATGTCTATTACGTCTATGATAGACGTAGGCGTTGGCAAGGTAACGTTAGATACACAGAAGAGGAGAGCGAGTGTAAAGTTACAACCAAGACAGTCAAACACAACCCCGGAGTTTTAAAACTCAACCGGAGTCAGTGATGACTGATGAGTTTTAGAATAAGGTTACAGTGCTAACGTTAGATAGTAGCGTTAACGTTGCTAGTAAGTGGAAAAGCACAAGGAAGATAACGTTAGCCATTAGCAACTGGATGCTGTGTTGTCATATAAAATGTTATATGTTATATTAGAAGCAAACTAAACATAACTGCACAGTCAAACGCAACCCCAGAGCTTTGAAACTTATCCAGGGTCAGTGATGACTGATGAGTTTTATAATATAACGTAAACGCTAACGTTAGATAGTACTGGTGACTGGCAACAAGCAAGGAAGATAATGCTGCGCGAGCGGTTAGGTCAGTCGGAGGCCTCCACGTGGGGAAGACAGACAGGACAGGAGAAAACTCTGTCCAATCATTGCATTCGGACCGATGCAATGATTGGACAGAGTTTACTTAGAACCATATGAGAATGGTATAATTATGAGTTTTTATCTCTGGTGGAATTCACTTACATTTCAGTGTGCCATCAGCGTATTAATAGCATTTTAACCTAAACAATGAAAGTGTAACATTTCCAGAAAGGCAAGTGTTGCTTTAAAGTTGCTCACTGCCTTTTTTTGTGTTTCTTGATTGCACGTTGCTCAGGTTTTAAAGGGTTAAATCAGTGAAACACTCAATAAAGCAGTTTCATATTTAAAATCAGTTTCTCCGCCACTGTTTGGCATGTCAGAGACAAGCTGCTAGCCCAACACCCGCTAATCTGTGCTGCCCTGTTTCTCTGATAACTTTTGATCCAGATGTTCAGGTTTACTGTGATCTAAATTATCCACAGAGATCTTTTCTTCTCCAAAACAAACAGATCAGCTGATTTGAACCGGTAAAAACACTGAATAAAGCAGTTTCAGGTTAAAATAATTTGTGTTTTTCCGACACTCATCACAGAGGAGCTGCTAACTACAGTAGCTGATGTGAAAACATGAATGTTTTCATGTTCATGTTTTTCTGAATTGTACATTTCTAACATTATTTCATTTCTTCTTAGTCTGGAACTCAAGTTCAGTTCTGCAGTCTTTACTTTATTTACTTTGTTTTATGTATTTTGTTGTATAACAGGGCAGGTATCTTTATGAGTCATTTTTTGAATTCCAACCTCTCCTGCACAATGTTTTAACTTTAATTTATTTATTTATTCCTGTATTTTCTCATGTATGTGCAAATAAATTCAAATAAACTAAACTAAATTAAGGCCTTATTTTCTAATATAATTAATTCAATGTCTGAAAAGACTTTTAAAAGATCTACAGGAACCCTGGTACATTTCACCTCTGTCTGCTTCAGTGCTCCTCAGTTTCCTGTTGTTGAATAACTGTTTTTATTTTTATTTATTTGCCTCATTTATCTGCTCTTACTGTCCTCTCAAGCTCTTAAATGTAATGTTATTATTATGGAGGTCAGCTGTGATGGTCATGTCATGGTCAGTCACATGTTTGTGTGTGTCATGTGTGTGTCCCCTGCCCTGTGTGTGTGTGTGTGTGTGTGTGTGTGTGTGTGTGTCCATGTGAACGGATTAGGATCAGGGATTAGAGACAGATGTAAACCACAAGTCCAGATCCAATCTCTTTCTGCTGCCATCCCATCACACAGCACCAAAAGTCACGGTTAGGGTCAAGATTAAGCACGCCCCGCCTCCTCTAGAGCCTGACCTCAATCCTATTGGTCCACCACTCTGACTGACGGCGCTGTCGTCCAATAGGAGCAGAGGACAGGGATCGTGTGGAAACCGCTGCGCAGATGTGTGTGAAGAAGACAGCGCAGGTTTTAGTGAGAGCAGGAAAAGCTTGTGAGAGGAGGGAGTCACGAACTGCTGCTGAGGCACCAACACACGAAAGGTGAGAACTGCATTATGTCATTGTTACATTTAAATAAGTCTGTCATTATATATATATTATTATTATTGGAGCATTTGGTCTGTGTGGCTCTTGTTTGTGTGCTGCCTGTTTAAAATCCTCTAAATGTTCTTAGTTATTTTACACACAAAAAAGGCTTTAAAGGTATTTTTCAGGATGTATTTCAATAATTTATAAGCTTTTATTTTATTTCTATTGTCCTTGTTGTTTGTGTGCAGCCTTTTTAAATTTATCTCAGCCTGCTTAGTCAGATGTTTAACACTAAATAGGCCTGTAAAGTATATTTGATGGTATAATTTAATCATTTACAGGCAGGTGTCAGTCTCTAAGGTCTTTACTGTTTGTGTGCAGCCTGTTTTAAATCCTCCCCGGCCTGCTTACTCTGCTGTTTTACTCTAAATGCCAGTATGTTAATGTAGATGTGTCTGCTTTCACTTCTGGGCCTCTCCTGCAGGCTTGTCCTTCATTACAAGCTTTAATCAGATTAACTGAGGTCTTGCAGTTGGAGCTGTGAGGTTTTGTGGGATCTATTCTGCATGAAATGTGACCCCGAGTCTCGTAGAGCCGAGCACAGAGGAGAGGAAAGCTCTGTCCTGACCTGGTAGTTTAGAGGTCATTCATTTGGCTCAGCTCTCTCGTGTCAAGGTGCTTTTTTTTCCTCTCACACCAACTTCCTTGTCTTGTTAATCTGCAATCCCTCATCACTTTACACTTAAATGCATGCTTGGAAACAATACACACAAACTTCCCACATTCCTGTGAAGGCCCAAACATGACGCAGAATATCTCCCTGAGTGTGTGTGAGTGTGTGTGTGAGGTAAAGCTCGGCCTCTGAAGGCTAATGATACAGAGAGGAAGACTTTGCTCTTTGGTTCCTGCGTCTGACATTTATTCCAGACTGCTGCTGTCCCACGTTTACACTAAACTTTGATGTACTGCTTGGTTTGTCGTGGCCGGCGATGGCAGATTATTGTGTGGAGACGTTCCCTCTGACTGAACCTGTCAACAGATTACTCCACCTAACTGTTTAGGTACAAACAAGGTGAAGGTTTAAAGGTGTATTCATTACAAAACAAAGAGTGCCTGAGGTTTATATTTGACCCTGAGATGCAGCAGAATGTGAGGGTGTGTTTGGACTGAGGCGTTTTAGACTTTAATGTTGCACATTTATTGTTCAGATATTAAACTGGACTCTGGAGGTGATTAATCAGTGACTAGTCCGGGCTGGATGCCCGTATTCTTACACCAGACAGCTGCAACCTTGAGACTAAGCGTCGTCCTCCACTTGAAAAGGAGCAAAAGTGCTGCAGCTGTGCAGAGAAAGAGACGCATCCTTTTAAAAATGTTTCTTGAAACTGAAAAGAAGCGGAAATGTTTTTTTAATTTCCCCCACGACTGCAGCATGGCTGATCGTCACTTTCACTTTCAGTGTTTTCTGGGTACTTTCTCATCTCACGCTGTAACAGACAAACACAGAAACAGGGAATGGGCTCTGGTGCCTCGCCAGCTGAAGTGTTCACTAAAATGTAGGAGTGTGCGTTGACTACTGAAGCACCACTTTGCAAAATGACAAAGTGCAAAACTGGCACAGGTATCAGGAGTGAAATAATGTTTGTCACCATGGACTGTAAAAATACTGGACGTACCTTCTGTGACATCACCCGTTGGTTTGTGGACTCCTGTTTTGAGGTCTTGAGTTTGACATTCCGGCTGTCGCCTTCTTGGTTTTTTGGAGGCAGAGGTGACCATGTTTGGGAAAAAGGGTGGCGCTGTGGAGGAGCGAGTGGTGGATCTAACTCGTATTATGCTGCCTCGCCGTTCTATATATAAGGTATGATCGTGAAATGGGGGAACAGAGTTGTCTGACCTTCAAGCTGCCACGAGAGGTGGTAACAGCGCCAAAACAATGTCTGTATAAACAGGGCAGCTGTCAGGACAGGTCAGAGTCCTGCAGCGGGTCGGACAGGTAAGCTGCAAAAAACAGTGTAAAGGGTTAAAATATGTACATGTATAAGTTCGTGGGTACGAGTCAAAATGAAGTACACGTGGGCAGGCAACAGACAAGAACAAAAATATATATTTTTTTTTTTTTCAGAATAAAACAAATGAAAAAGATGTGCATCATATTTTGACTTCTAAATCACTATTATAAGGCTGCAGATCCTTTTATTTTGAAAGTCAGTGACACAAGTTAAACCTTTGATTTGGTTTTCAAAAACAAACCTGTGCAAACCTGTCTCTGGGACGGGTGTGAGGTTATGGCAGTGTGTCATCTGTGCGACCCACTGCGGGAGATTTAAATAGCAACTAGAAGCAGTTAGTGGTTAATTTAAAGAATAAGAACAGCAACTGAAAATGTCAGCCAACTGGGAAAACAATGACAGTCAGGAGCTCCTTACCGTCTGAGCAGAGGATGAGATCAGCCGCCATATAACAGGGACACTAAATGATTGTTACTGAGGAAGACCCCAAATAAATTTTCCCCACAGATGGTTTCTGTCATTACAGGTAGTTCTAATGAAGTTCAAGTGTTCGTTTTTCAGATACATTTGGTCATAACTTGTAATTTGATGTTAAAAAAAAAGGGGTTTGACGTCATCAACGATAGCTGTGTGAGCCAATTGGCGTGCACAAAATCAATGGCGCTGCTTGAGATTGGTCAGATGGTTATATTGGCAGGAACTGTGGCTGTACCTGGGATAATCTGTTTTCATTTTTGTACAATGGGAGAAAGTGGAGATGCGTCGTCTATGAGCCGGCAACATGTGGTCGTTCAGAGAACTGCAGTTTTTGGCACTTCTATGTTGGCTTCATTTGTCAAAGGTTGACTCTTGGTCTTTACTCTGTTTCTGTTTTTACTACCTTATCTCACAGATGTCACTCGCCAGCGACAAGCTGTACAACGGATACTTGCGGCGGAATATGCCAACCATCGTGAGCAAGGTCAAAGTGAGAGAAATACTGAACCATCTACCGTGCTTGACATCTCAAGACAGGGTGAGTTTCATTAGACACAAGGAGCAGGGGCTGGGGATACTCACTCACCAGCAACATTCAGTGTCCACCGGCCGGTCTGCTCCCAAAAACTGAGCTTCTCTGTCTTTGCTGTGACAGTAGCTTTGCTAAAAGGGGTGGCAGTGACGTCACCAGCGCCTTTCTGAGATTTTCAACTTAAAGTGTTCAGAGCATCCTCACAAAAATGAGTTTGTTTTTTTTAATTAATTCATATAATTTTAATTAATCAGATTTTTTAATTAATTAATTTAATGTAATTTTTTGACTAAGGATACATGACTGTAACTGCAGGTATAAACAGGTGGAGCAGAGCTCTGTTATTAGTTGTGACCAAAACTGGATTTTTTTAAAGCCAGTAATTATATTAACAATTGAGAGTCAAGAAATGATGATATCGACCAAAATTACAGATATTTAACATTTTGACAAGAACGCTCAAATGTAGTTATTGTCTGGTGAAGTACTGAGAGATGAACTCTAAGGTTTATTATCACTGGTGACAGTAACAGCTCAGTCTGAGTAAAATCATCAGCACACTAACAACAAACGGATGATGACTCTGATTAATAAATGTGTGTTTTTTCTATGAAATCTAATTTTAGGAAACCATTGAGGCAAAAAGAGAGACGTATGGGAACTATGACAGCATGGTGCTCCTGCTGGACTGTCTGAAGAGGAGAGAGAACTGGCCGGAGCAGTTCATCAAAGCACTCGAGGCATGTGAGCAGCCGACACTCGCAGCTGAGATCAGAGCAGAGTACGAAGCTCTGAAAGAGAACAACAGTAAGTCTGAAAGCCAAGTGCACAGTACTGTGTCATAGGGTAGAGTTTAATGCAGTTAGAGGAGTGGGATTGGTTAGAGTTAGAGTAAGAATGTTAGGGTAAGCCAATCAGAGGCTGAGGAAGGCTGAAGAAGGCCCCGATCACACAAAGTGTTTTGTGGGTTGCAAAACCTGAGGTGCACAACACACCTTTTGTTATTTAATTAAATGCTACCAGTAAAAACAAACTCTTGTTTTATTTGTCACAAAAACCTTCAGGGAATATTCTGCTGTCTGTTTGACATCAGAGACTCCAGTAAATGATAAATGATGACTATACAGTTATTGTCAGCCGCCCCTCAGGAGCTTCAGTCATGTTCAGAATGGATTTAAATGACAACATTGTTTGCTTTGGCCTAGATTCATCCAATCCCAGCTCTCCTCCAACAACTGTCGTCAGGGCACACGTCCATCCAGCACCATCTGCCAGTCATCTGTCCGGCCCAGAGGGTAGTGCAAACAGTCAGGCTGCTGTTGCTCCGCCAGCTGAAGCATCAGCTCCTCCAGACGCAGATGAAGCATCAGCTCCTCCAGACACAGATGAAGCATCAGCTCCTCCAGACGCAGATGAAGCATCAGCTCCTCCAGACTCTGTTGAAGCATCAGCTCCTCCAGATTCAGTTGAAGCATCAGCTCCTCCAGACACAGATGAAGCATCAGCTCCTCCAGATCCTGTTGAAGCATCAGCTCCTCCAGAGCCAGCTGAAGCATCAGCTCCTCCAGACACAGATGAAGCATCAGCTCCTCCAGAGCCAGCTGAAGCATCAGCTCCTCCAGAGCCAGCTGAAGCATCAGCTCCTCCAGACACAGATGAAGCATCAGTTCCTCCAGAGCCGGCTGAAGCATCAGCTCCTCCAGACACAGATGAAGCATCAGCTCCTCCAGAGCCAGCTGCCCATGCCTCACCCCCTGTGCAGCCACAAGCCCCCCAGAGCTCAGCAGCCCAAGTTCCTGAGGCTGTTTCCCCACCTGAGCCTGTCCCAGAGCCTCCACAGTCCACTCAGGCTGAAGTGGCACCTCCTCCATCAACACCTCCTCCTTCCCCCGCTGCCCAGCACACTCAGCCCACTACACCCCCACCTCCTCAGAGGGAGACTAATTCTCACCAGGAGCTGGTGGAGAACTCTGAATCAGACATCCAGTATGTCTCTGCTGATGATGTTGTGATCCCTGATCAGGTGAGCGCAGGAAACAGAGAGGTATCCATCAGCTCTGTGGACGCTCCTCAACCATCTCGTCCTGTTGAGCAGTGTGAAACACACACTGCGTCCCCAGATCTTCTCCAAACAACAACCACCTCCACAGAGGTCAGTCCACCACAGAGTCCCTCTGCATCTCAGATGAACTCCGATGTGACCGATGGATCCTCTTTCCTGACCCTGACCCCAGAGAGGCCTCCAGTCCAGGACACCAGCCCTTCTGGGGACATCAAACCTGCAGCTGTCCTGCAGCCTGAAGAGACATCTGAACCTCCTGCTGCACAGGTGCAAACCTAAATATCATCATTTAGAAATTAACACGTGGAAACATGGTGCCCACTGCCCAACCCTCTGATCTCCACTCGTTAGCTAATGATAGCCTTGGCTGCTCTGCACTGTCCACACCCAGGTTGGGTGTTAGCTAGCTAGCGGCACCCCTCATTGGACATTTATCACTGATGATGCCTTCCCAGTGGTGAGAGTGTGTCACTACAGAAACATGGTGGCCGCCCTCCGGTCTCCACCTAGGTCACTCCGCTGAGTGAGTGGCTTCATTTTGAGCTGCAAACCCCTTTAGCATTGTTAACTACCAGTATGATGGCAAAGCTAGCCTTGGTGACATTGCTGTCGGTGCTAACAGTGCTAACAGTGCTAACAGTGAGGGTTAATGATGCTAAAGGGAGTTAGCGACTCATAATTGAGCAGTTTACTCACTGGGGTGACCTGGAGGAAGACCAGAGGGCGGGCATAGTGTTTCCACAGCAATGCTGTTGTGTCAGGGCGGCGTTACTGTCAGTGATCACCATATGAGCGGTGCCGTTAGCTTGCTCCCACCAGACCCAGTTGGTGCTCGGTGCAGTTAAGATAAGAATAGTAAAATCAACCTACAGACTGACGTGTAATCGACAGTTAACTGTTAAGTGGTTCACGGTTGACGTCCCTAGTTTACATTCATGTTTGCTAGTTTGCGGCCTTCTCATGTCTCAGCTTTGCCGTTACATCTCAGTATTTTTTGGTGCGTTATGGCTGCCAGCTGTCAATCAGTGTAACACTGTGAAATGTTTGGCACAGACTGAAAAAATACTGCACGAAGCTACTGTGATGTCACCTGTTGGTTTGTGGACTCCAGTTTTGAAGTCTTGAGTTGAGCATTTCAGCTGTCACCATTTTTTGAGGCAGAAGTGATCATATTAGGCGAGAGGGTGGCGCTGTAGAGGAGTGAGAGGGTGATCCGACTCATATGCCCCTTTTATACTGGCTCCTTAAGGCGGGAATATTGCACCATTATGCCGCTTGGCTGTTCTGTATATAAGGTATGATCGTAGAATTATATTGTCTCACCTTTAAGGTGGCAGGAGAGGAAGTAACAGCACCAAAACGGTGTCTGTATAAACAGGACAGTTGGCAGGACAGGTGTGATGTTATGGCAATGTGTTATGTGTACGACCCAAAGTGGGAGATTTAAATAGCAGCTAATAGCAGTTAGCGGTTAACTCAAAGAGCAGCAGCCAAACGTTTGATTTCATGTTTACTAGTTTGGCATTTGGGCCGTTGCCATCTTTGTTTTTTGGAGCCAGAAATTACCATATGTTAGCAAAACCGAGGACACTATCACCCCTCAATAAATCCTACCTCTGTGAAGTTTATAATGTGCAGTGTTTAACAGTACAACAGAGAGGGATTGGTTCAGCTACATTTTAAAAATGAACCTGACATGTGACATTAATTTCTCCTGCAGGTTGTTGAAAGCAGCCCACAGACAGAAGCTGCAGCGACCACCTCCCCGCCTGGTGCTGCTGGGACGGACGCCTCTCTGTGTGATGACAGCTCTGTGTGTCTGTGCAACTCGGGTGATAGTGAGCATCTGGAAGTTAACGGTGCTGCACCGGACGCTGTGACCTCTGCCCAGCTTCCAGCATGCTCCACTGTCAGCTCCACCACCGTGACTACAGCGTCTGCACCGCCATGCCAGGAGAACGGCATCACTCTGAACCATAATGAACTGGAGGAAAACCACTACGAGTCTCTCTGTCCCAGTTTGGGAACACAGGCGGTGCTGGAGACCGTGGTGCATGTGTCCGAGGAGCCGTCTGTCCTCAACCTTAACGGCCAAAGCTCAACACCACAAGTTCAAATCAACGGCGAAGCTGCCAAAGAGATGACCTCTGTTCCACCACTGTCCAACAACGCTGCTGATACTGTACCGAGTGTGAACACCTCCTGCAGTGAGAACCACCACCCGTCTGAGTCTACACCCACTGATCTGTCAGCAGAGCCGAAGACACTGCAGGATTCAGAGGACAAGATGGCCTGTCGCACCCTGACACCTAATACAAAGTACATTCTGACTGCTGCAGGAGTGGGCGCCTGTGCACTGCTGATGGCGTGGAGGTTTAAGCATTAAGGGGATTTAATACCTTTAAAGGAAGAGAGGATTAAGCTTTAAGGCTTTTTAAAGAGGATCTTAAGGTTATGGTGCCTTATTGTAGTCACTGGACTGGGATGGCGTGAGGCAGCTGTTTAATAATTACCCTCAGTAATAATAGCTGACTCGTCAGACCTTTGATCGTGTCGTTAATTACTCGTATGTTGGACTTTTATTATCTAACTGCTAAATGAACCATAGTGAACAAACACCAAATCTACTCCTCTTATTGTAGTTAGGGAACTTTGTGGAGCTGGGTTGAGATCTCAGGTTATTTATGCACCTGGTGCAGATGTGTGGTTTGTGAAAATGATGTGTATTAATGACAGAAATGTTTCTACGTGCACTTTGAAGATAAGACTGTCAGCTGTCGTCCAGTGAAGATTAGTGAACCTGAACTTTACTGGATGTGGAAGAGCGAGTATAAATGACGCCTGCTGCACTGTCTGTATTTATTTGTACATACATATAAACTATATCGGTATCTAATTATGTATATTAAGAAAAAATAGTAGTTATCAGGATGTAACTCCAGTTGTATGAGCATGTCGCCCTCTAACAAGCTTTGCGAAGCCCGTTAGAGGGCGGAGCAAATAGGAAATAGAAGAAATGTGTGATAAACATCCCAAAGCTCTCGTAACATCTCAGAGAATCAGTCTGCTAAACTCCAGAAGCCAAGAACTGCCAGGCCAGATAAAGAATCACAGTCCAGATCAGTTGTTTCCTTTTTAGTTATGTGCTTTTTTAAAACCATTACACTCCTCAATTGTGATTTTTTTTTTCATGGCAACATTTTTTTTTCTCAGATGGAAAACTTGTGTTAACATGTAATAAGTCATTTTATTAGCTGCAAAAACTCTGTTTTAAATATCAGTTTTTGTGGTTATTGCTTCTTTCTTTTGTGTAAAAATGTAGTTAGCATAAACATCAGCTATTTTTTTAAACAGTGAAAGAATACTAAAAATGTAATAATGTAATCAATGTAATAAAAATGTACTATAAAGTAATTTGCTGCACTGTGCAGGTCCGTAGAGCTCTAAAGGCGACCACTGGTCTAATCAAGCGACTCTGTGCTTCCTGTCCATCATCTGGTGTTCATGTTTGAGATGAACTTTTATTTTTTCATAGGTTTTCTTCTCCTTTATACAGAAACAAGTTTGAGAAGTCTTGTTGTATGAGAAAAGACTGTATTGTAAATATCATTGTGAGTATCAGAGATGTCAGAAAAACAAACTTTGATGTAGAAAGTTTTGCACATTTAAAGAAGATATCTGAGCTGCAAAGATTCTTTGTAGATGAAATGTATCATCGATTATCTCAGTTTGTTTGCACTGTCTCCAGCTATGCACTCAATAATCATATCAATAAAGCTGAAATTATATTTTAAAAATCCTTTGTTGAGTGTGCATGTGGGATTTCCTGCAGAGACATCAAAAGTTTATGTGAACTCTGATGTCACACAGAACGTTTTTATCATGTACAGACACATGACGGATACATTTACTTTGCCTTCTGCAATTTGATTATCTTACTCCTCATTACGCTACTTTTGTCAGGGATGAGTTGCATTAAAGGACTGCAGGCTGGAATTGAAACCGTGGCCACTGCGGCAGTGACACTGGCTTTGTGAATGGGACATCCGCCCTACCTACTGAGCAGCTGGGCCCCAGAAACACAGATTTTTAACGTGAACCTGATCATTCAGTGTTTTACTGTCTTGAATCAGCAGGGGGCTCACAAGTAAAACAGTACGTAGGATCCATACTTAAAGTGTATGTGTGGACAGAAGCAGAACATGCTGTGCACTAAAACATATTTTGATTTATAAAACCATGCATACGCCTGCCAGTGTGCAGTGTCCTTCTATATATCCCAAAATGCAACCTGCTCTATAAAATATACTCCTGGACTCTGTCAGTGACGAGCAATAACAAACAAATCTTTCTGAGCAACTCTTTTTAGTGTCCAGTCTGAACCAAGTCAGCCTGTCAAACATCCGACTGCTCATGAATCCCTGACTTACGTTCAGCTTGCTCTGTCTGCTACAGTGAGTCAACAAGAGGCAATTAAATAAGACTTGAGTCAAGACCTCTGCCAGCGGAGGCCAAGGGTGCATTCACGTGGCCCTCAGATGGTCGTTCTAACTTTGGTGTTCATTAGCTTAAAGTTGTGACGTGGAAACAACACAGAGACTACAATGTTGCTCTCAGTGTTTAAACAACTATGACGGCCCTTGAAGTACTGACTTGGTTGTGTTTTACCAGTATCTGTTTTTTCCTGTGTTCTTGAAGGCATCACAGAAGTGCAGTGGCTGATTCAGTGCACCTGGGCTGAGTGCTGCTGGGGAATAAAAGCCCAGCTCCAGTGTTGCTCTGTCTCTCTCTCCATGTGACGTCCTTGTCACACTTTGGCCTTTGTTTGGTTTGCTTTTGCTTTCACTTCACAACACCTCACCATGTTCACTCACTCACATCTACAGCACTGATTTACTGACTGGCCCGTTCCATGTGTGGCTACTTTTCAGTTGTCTGCTTTGTTACCATAAATAACCTTTAATTTAACATCATCCACCGTGTCCTTTCCAGTATTTGTTCTGGCCTAAGAGCCGGGTTGTGACACAACACGTTGATAATGAAGAGCAAATGAAAGGGATCAGCTGAGCCATGAAATATAATCAGAGAACTAAATTTTTCAGAATATTGAGACACTAAATAAACGCAGCACAAAGCTGGAAAATAACTGGACTGCTACTTGACACTCAGTCAAGTACACAAGTCAGTGACATATCTGTACCGTAGTATTGAGCTTATATAAGTGCTGATTCAATATATATTTACATGTGTCAACTCAAAGGAATCAGTCCACCCATTACTAACTAATGCAAAGTATAAAATAACTAGTATTAGACTGTCTTTGTTCATATCAGTTATTTTGCTTGTTTGTTGTAATTATTTTGAGGTGAAAAGGACCCCGGACATTTTAGGCCTCTTGATCCTCACAATAATTTTTCTTTTAAGTATTAAACCCTCCTAAAAAAAATATATATATATATTAAAAAAAAAAATTTAAACTTTGACAACCCCTGAACTGAACTTGTTTTTCTGTTGTTTTCTGGAGGACGACGGGCTGCACGAGGTCACGTCCCAGAGCACAAGAACATCGACGAGGACAAATTCACCAGTAGGCTGGGAAACTTTCACATGTAGGAGAATAAAAAGACGAGCACGTGTTGTTTCCTTTGACAGGCGACACAGTGGTGGAGCCAAACTGTTGATAGTCGCCTCTGTTCAGTCTGGTTTGGGTTCTGGTGACTAACTGTGTTTGGATTGTGTTGATTTTTGGAGATGTCTGCACCGTGACGGCCCACCACTGTTGCACCAACACAAAGGAAACAACCTCCATTAAACTACTGCATCCTAGTAATAATTCATGAGCATCATCAGGCTGTGAGCATTCCTCTGTTACTGGATTATGTCAGGGATTATCTGTGATGATTAATCTGTTTACAGATTGTGTTCACTTGATTTTTACTTTGGAGCTTTGCTTTGTTTTAAAATGGGTTGAGCAGATTGTTCTGTTGGTTGTTCAGTCACCACTAGGTGGCACCGTTATCTTTATCCCTCAGCTTTGGGGCTACAAACGATTCTGCTTTCATTTTAAAGGCTGTGACTGATGAGTAGTTTTGCTATCGGCACATTTAATGTGCCATGTTTGATTCTGAAGCTGTGCTCTGTAATCTGATTACTGGGGTGCTGGGTGTGTTTCATGTGTGGGCCGGTTGAGTTCAGTGTGTATAAATGTTGTAATGATGTGTGTGATGGAGAATCTGTTTCAGTGTCGTGATGTTTGGACACAAACTGTCACACAATAAGTGCCTTTTAGTAGCACTGTGGCTGCAGCTGATCAGGGCTCAGCCCAGAGGGGATTAAAGCTCAACTCCGAGTGTGTGAGGGACAGTTTGGATCCTCTGAAGTGAAGCTGTGTGAGGTAGTGATCCAGAGTCAGTGTGTTACCTACAGTAGATGTCGGTCAACATATACCTTTCTGTCAGACGGCCAGTTCCAACAGGAAAGCTGTTAACTGCATCAGTTTTTTTCCACTGGTTTGTTATATTTTCTTATTTTAGATTTGTTTTCCTTTTGTTGTTGTTCTTTTATTTAGCTGAACTATTAATATTGTAATAGAATCTGAAACTCACTCTGAGTTACTGTTGTTGTTCACTAATTAAAATAATGTGAGATCATTTTTGTTTAGTTTTTACTGTATATCTGAAGCAAACTGTAAAACTAGATCACTGATTTTGTTGCAATTTCATTGTCTTAAATTAACAATAACATTTTTTTTTTTTTTACTAATTTCTCACATCGTCAAGAATATCGTTATCACAAAAATACCCTGAAATATCCTGATATCATTTTAGGGCCATGGCACCAACATTACTTGCTCTGTATATACCATGTATTTTTAGTCATGTGCAAATAAACAAACCTAAGTTCCTCATCGATGGGTTGAACAAAACTCCATCACTGACCCAAAATAACCACATGTAATTTAACAAAAGCTATGACCTCTACACTCAAAAAAGGCCACAAGATACACACAAACCTTACATGCACTTCACCTCAGGTTGTTCGATCCCAGATGAGCCCCCATTTATTTTTGGTGGTACTGGTCTTGAGTTTTTGCTGTCTTGTTTCCTTGTTTTATTTGTTAATAAATACCATGGATTTGAGTGTTTTAAGGTGTCTTATGTGGTTATTTTATGTGTAGTTTTGTTCGTCCCATACGGTCGCCACAGGGTGGGGCGTAACAATGTTCTCGTCAAAGCCAGACTCCATTGAGAAAAACAGTAATTTAAGCCTACTGAACACAGGAGCTGCTGGTCTGCTGCTGCTTCGACAATTCACTTAGTTTGTCTTATTGTGTGACTTTGGTGAATCTGAATTAACTCTTTAGAACATCAAAGTCACACAACAGCACAAATAACTAACTGATGGAGGCAGCAGTAGACCAGCAGCTCCTGTGTTCAGAGATGTTAAATCACTGTTTTTCTCAGTGGAGTCTGGCTTTGAAGAGAGCGATGTAACAGCTTCATTTTCCTGTTGGGAATCAGTGTCTGACAGTGACTTAAGAGTTCAAAACATATTAAATGTAGTGTACACTTAAACTGCAATTGATGTTTTTAGGTTGGACTTTTTTTAAGTGGCTTAAAAAACATGTAATTGCTGCCCGTCCACAGCTGTACACTGCTTGGCTGCAGCGTCGGTACTCCAGCCTGCGTCTCCATCTACTGTATGTAATACACTGACTATGGATAAGTACCACTTCAAACGATCTGAACTGTCCCTTTAATGTGGTGCCATACACTAATATGTAAAGTGTAAGACTTGGTGTGAGTGCAGCAGAAGAGATGAGCCTGATTCAGCCTCATGATGAGCTGCATGAGGCTGCAGCATGATTTTTGAGCAGGCCTCTCGGGGCCTCAGCATGCAGCTCAGTGTAATTTGGGATATCACTATGAGGTCAGAGGAAGCAGTGACTGGAGGATGAGAGGCCTGGTGGTGTTTTTTTTTGTTCTTCCCTGTCCCTCCACTAAAACATCAGTGATTTAATCCCTGCAGCAGCTGCGTATCCTGTTGCAGTGTCCTTGAGTGTGAAGCCTGGTCTCAGGTCAGTCTGAGTTAGAGTAAAGTGCCAGTTAAACGCCTGAAAGGTAACTATTGTCCCGGAGATTTTATCTAAAGCGAAGTTCTCCTAAGCCTAAAATGCCTCCCTTCAATCTCCCTGGCTGTGTCTCCTCTCTGTTAATGTGGGTGGGATTTGTGCAGATCCCTCTCCCCTAAAGCCCAGCAGGTTTGTTATTTGACTCAAGGTCACTTCTCTGACTCCTGTTACGCAATGTTTGGGGTGTGAATTACAAAACGTT